CAATTTGCTCTCGTAGCAAACGCCGGCATCTGATCTCGTGCTGACTGGCACGAGTCTTTGACGCCTGTTGCGTTGCGGAACCTCGGACTTTTTAGGCAGACGGGTGCGGAGCAACTGAATTTGGTTGCGATTTCACGTTGCATAAACTTCCTTCCATCAGAGTCGTGTTTTCCTCTCTAGAGTTCTGTGTACGCGTGTGTACTGCGCTCCTTATTACAATGTTACCCATGATTGTCGTGATACAATGTCATATCACGTCATTGTTATACAAATGGTTATCACGAATTCTTATACAGTGTTTGACCCAGTCTACACATGGGCCACCGCATTGTTATACAATGTACGTTATCAATCAGACATGCACTGGCGTAGCCTAAGGGTGGCACAGGCGGGCCATGGCCCCCCCCTGTTGATTGGCAACAAAACAAAATTTTTTTTTTCCTTGTTTCTCAGCGCGTCTTCACAGGACTGGCCACAATATCCTGTTACTTCTGCATTTCCTGCTGAACAACATCTCTCTACAAATGAGCATTGTCAAGGTCTAAACTTCGTTCTACAATGACCCAAGCCACGACTTCTCTGCTTTCATTCTCCTTTTCGATTGACAGGAGTTAGTGAATGACATTAATGTCAACGAACAATCCTTCCAAATCGACGAGATAGACTTGACTTTGGATTTTTATATGAGTTTCTGCAGCAGACAAAAACATGACTAAGATAAGGAGATATTCTTTCTATTGCTCAGATTTGTGTTGCCTTCAAGTTGGCTTGATTGAATTTATTCGGTCCTGAACTCTTATGACAGAGAAAAGAAATGAAATGCTTTGTGGATAACCTTTGACTATATCTGAATTATAGACTGGGCCATTTTGGCATCCACCATCGGTTAACCGTTTATTTTCAAGATCATTCACACTATTTTAAGTCAACTGTTCTCTTATCAGGGGAGGGCAAAACATCTTTTCATGGTAAATTTCCTTTTTTATTTGCAACTGAGCGGCTTATTTTCGTCGCAGCCGACCTTTGTTTTTTATTTTGAATCAAATTTCAATATAGACGTTTTTAGTTCTTCATCAGAGAAAGCAAATACATTTTTAATATAACGAACAAAATGTTAAAATGTGGTCTTTAACGCGTATTGATATTCTAACGATGTAAAATCTATTTGATAATTTAAATAAATTGCATGTTTATTCAGTCGCCAGCCTTCCAACACATCTACCTGTTTTTCCTCATAGCATCTTTATTTCGATTTCTTTTCAATATGCCTCGACTTTTTCAAAAATACATTTAATTTTAACTTTTATTTTTTTATTTTTTTGTTTATGAAGAACTTGAAACAGGTTTAATGACAGCGATAAAAGGCAACATTGCCTGGTACTGCTAACACACAAATCAAACTAATTCATATATTCCGTCTAAGTATTGAATGAGGAATGGCGTTAGCTACACAAGGGGCGAGACAGAGGAGGCCACTTGCACCCCTCTGGCATCGGAGAGCTACAAAAATTCAAGAGAGAAGGGCCGCTGAAATGGGAATTGGTCTTATACCCTATTACCTACCTAATAATGAAAATGAAATGCCGGCAAAAATGCCTATTTTGACTGCAATATTTTCAAAAATTACCCTATGTATGGGAGGGAAACCCTCCCCCCGTAGAAATGCGCTATCGCTGTCTTTGGTCGGCCTAACTTTTTCTTCACCTCCCTGAAAAACACTGGCTTCGTACACCATTTTCAACTGGTCTAGCATAAGGGTCCAGCACACTGAGTCGTTGTGTAACCTCATAGAGCTCCTTTGCCGCGCCACAGGCCAGGGGGCTGTCCCACGTGATCGGATCGGAGTTGGAAAAATAAAAAGCAGGAGCGGTTATAGGGAATTAGCAATATGCACCTTACTACATTATAAGTTACCCCTTAATACCTGAATTTTACGTGGCTGCCAGGAAAATGCCAATTTCATTGCGTACGAATTTTCAAAAATTCCGACGGTGGGCAGGGGGATACCTCCCACACCTACCCCCCTCGGTCGCTTCGCTCCCTCGCCTGTGGCCCCCCTGCTTTCCAGTATTGCTGGCTACGCCACTAAGATATATATATATATATAACAACAGTCAAGGTATAGATAGGACTGGGGTAAACTTAATAATTGACTAAGCTTTCGAGATTTACATCTCTTCAATTCAGCTGTCCAGCAGTTGCAATTGGAATTAGAATCAAAATAACCAAAACACAATACATGCTGTTAAATAGATAAAGTCAAAATGTAATGAAAGTCACACAAATTCGCGCGAGGTCAGCAGCGAGTTGCCATGGAATGGAAGGCGAACATCATGAGAACACGCAATATGTGTAATTACAGAGTATCGTGCGACTATTCTTTTGTCGTCCGTATTCCATGGCCAACGCGCATATTAACACACAAAAGCACCACACACACAACTCACAACACACACACAACACACACACACACAACACACAAAAAACACAGACACAACACACGACACCACACACACACACACTACACAACACACCCACACACACACACACACACACACACAACACACACACACACACACACACACACACACACAACGAGCAATGGACTCCAAATTCGCACGTAAATTAAAGTTTACGTTCATGCCCCCCTGAGATTCAAAAACCAGCTTCGAATTAATTTCCTGGCTCACAGTCAATGGTCGACCGTGAGCTATTGTAATAATGGGTCTGTCAGTTGGCAGCCACAGTACACGCACGTCGTCATGTGGTGACCGGGGTTACATGCGTGTGGCTGGAAGAAGCGAAATAGCATCTTAGGTGTTTAACAAACCTATCCGCAAGGCCGGCGTTTTGTTTCGCCAATATAAGTAATTTGTCACGTTTCAACGGCATTCAATGGTCTGTAAACTGACGGTCCGACAAGCATTGTAAAATCGAATGCCCGCACTATTTAAAATTTGCCACGAGGACCCCTTGAACCACAGACCTATTCGTGAATTAAATTGCGACTTAGCCTCACACGTTTCGCACATACACGAGTATAGAGCCAGGTTGGGCTCACGGAGTTGTACAGAGTTGTCAACGGACGTTTCGCCTTGAGAACAAGCAGTGTTCGGCAGGAGTATAATAATATTATATGACGCTAGCAGAACAGGATCTTGCCAATAGAAAAGCTAGGTTTAAATAAGGGTGGAATTACAGGGGGAGTTGTTACCATAGCTAATAATTTATCATACGTTCATAGATATATACTCATACTATATAGTGAGTATGAGGGTAATATATATATATTATAATATATTATATATATATACATATCTCTAATACTATGTTACTATTGTAGTTTGTAGAATCTACTTTGTTAGTGTACTATTGTAAACAAACGAGAGCTCTATATCTCGTGTCGTTCGTGGTACGAGCGCTCGTGCGCTTGTATTCACCGCGTGGGCAGGGTAACCGATTGTCGTATTTCCGTATCTAACGAACAACAATTTATCGGCTCCGGCATCTGCTGGCCTGTCAGCTCACAGGCACTTGAAGCGTTTCAATAAAATATAATGCTAAATAAATACGAAATCTAGGCCCCCCTATTTACTACTAAATTCTTAATATTTATATACTCTCTTTCACCTATTATTGCCGACAGTAATAATGTAATACAGTATATATGTATACTATATAATATAAGTGTTAGTGTGCAGCGGCAGCCATGGCGGCAGGTAGCGTGTGTTGGACATAGAGGATTTGGACGGAATTTACAGGAAACTGTTGGCAATAATAGGTGAAAGAGAGTGTATATAAACATTAAGAATTTGGTAGTAAATAGATTTCGTATTTATTTAGCATTATATTTTATTGAAACGCTGCAAGTGCCTGTGTGGCAGCCTGCCCACATTCTCCGTCTGTTGTCCGTCCGCACAAGTTCGTCGCCGTTTCGGAAATTCTCCACGGTAATACGGTATTACGACAGTCGACCTTACCGCCCTCGCTAATTAGGTGCTTCCAATCAACCTATCCGCCAGCTCTTCACGTCGCATATCGCACCTGAAAGTTAACAGGTAACCAAACCTGTAGGTGAATGAATTCCCAGACGTGAGCAATAGATGCGGCCACCGAGTCGGGGTGTCATTAAGGCGGAGAGCACCGTTACCAGGAAATAATCTAAATATAGATGCAATAAAGATTCCTGATGTACCCCCAAAAGAACGGGTTGGGTATATAGTCCGAATGTAGCCCCATATAGTTACAGCCTGTATGTACAGTGCCTGGCAGCTTATGCTTCCTTTTGAATAATTATATTACCTAGCGTTCATTATCAGGTGTGACATTTTTGTTTTTGTTTTCCTTTTTCCTCGAAATTAAAAACAGTCTCATATAATGGAAATGTGAGCAAGTGAGCTGTATAAAATATTAAGAATATCATTAATTATATATTAACTAGTGGATGTTTAATAAAAAAAACGATTGTCCGCCCTAATTTGACTGGAGAGAGAGAGAGGCAGAAGTAGAAGCAATCAGAGTGAGCAGAAAGATAAAGAGATCACTAGTGACAGAGCGATGAAGAACGAAGATCTAATGAGGAGAAGCCATGCAAGAGCCGAGCAGGAGTAATAGCAGATAGTATATAGCAGAGAGCCGTGGTGCGTCCATGACGTGTGTCTCAAGATGAAGCGCTGATAGTGATCGCTGACGTGCATCGACAGAGTAGAGAGGAAGCGTTAGTCGAGAGAGTGAAGTAGAGAGCGCCGCGCGGGACGGGGCGACGACGCGCGGATCATAATTCGTAAGTCGTATGGCCTGACCGCACTGTCCGCTTACTCTCGTCTGATGTCAGTGGATTGATACTAGCACCAGCTCAGCTCTCTGTACCTTTAAGTACCAGAATTATTAACTTATGAACCTAACAATCTAGACACCACTGCATCTCTGCACTCTCGTGCTCATACCTGATGGATCTCTAAGGTATTCGCTGAATAGCCATAATTTGTTCATACCAGGGTGTTAAGACGAAGTATTTAGACGGGGCAGACGGTAAGCCTGTTATACTGGTGGCTTTTGGCACCATGCTAAATCAGATGGATCACATGACCAACGTGAGTGACGTTATACCTTCATCATAAGTAAATAAATGTACATTCCTAAAATGTTTGACTAAGTAAAATTATATGTTACAGTAGTATATATAGTTAGTGTTGTATAGTTATATACGATGGTTCCACTAGATCAACAACAATATATAGTGAGAAAAGAAGCTAACTGAAACTTCATATTATTTACTATCCTATAAAATTGATATATATATATATATATCGCTGTTTGAATTTATGATTAATATTATTCGTATATACTGTTATATTCAGGGCAAGTTAAGAATACTGCTCGACACATTTCGAGGAATAAAAACTCACTTCTTCGTGTGGTCGATAGACAGAGACACGAAGGGCATATCACTACCAAAAAATATCAAGATGTTCCGATACGTACCGCAGAATGACATACTAGGTATAAGCGAACGATACCAAAAAGCGGCCAAAAATAAAGATTTTTGAAACTCATTGTAGTTTTAGAACAAATGGGAATGCACGATTATAGAAATGTTTAAATATACTATTATTTATGCAATTACTATCATAAGATCCCTTCTATGGTGTAGTATCTCTTTAAACACGCATTGGCTGTGATAAATTCAACACCATGAACCTCACTAAACCCACACTCGGGTCTGAAACAACTGCCATTAGTAGCTAAACGCGGCGGTGACCTTCGGGAATGCTATTAAGGAATATAGACTCTAATTAACTTCGTGTAATATAGGCCTACGCGAATAAAATTATTTGATACAGCGATACTGAGAAGACGATGTACGTATCACACCACTCTATACACGAACCGTGTACATAGAGTTTCGCTGTATCAAATAAATTTGTTTGAAATTTAATTACAGCGAAACTAATATATGAAGACGATGTGCGTATGATATCCCACACTACTCTACACACGAACCGTGTGGCGGACGATACCAGCACGTCTTTGTTCCCATAGTAATAATAATACTTAAATATAATGAATAGACTAGTTAGACCAGCGTCTCTATATATTTCTGTGTTTGTTCCTATCGTCTGATTCAGGTCACCCTCAGGTGGTTGCGTTCATGACGCACGGCGGTTTGAACAGCGTGTGGGAAGCGCTCTACCATGCCGTACCGATGGTGGTGATGCCACTTCATGCCGACCAATACAAGAACGCGGGTAACATCGTTAACAGGGGGATCGGCGTGCGGGCCGATTTCCGCGGTGGCTTCTCGGTGGAGGAACTCACGGCCACGCTCAAGAGTCTGTTGGAAGATGATAGGCAAGTCTCGTGAGATGCGGGGCGTTACTGTTGTTGTTGTTGTTGTTGTTGGTGGTGGTGGTGGTGGTGGTGATGATGTTGTTGTTGGTGGTGGTGAAGGTGGGGGTAGTGGTGGAGTGTAGTTGTTTTTGTTGTTGTTGTTGTTATTGTTGTTGTCGTTGTTGTTGTTATTGTTGTTGTTGTTGTCGTTGTTGTTGTTGTTGTTGTTGTTGTTGTTGTTGTTGTTGTCGTCGTTGTTGTTGTTGTTGTTGTTGTTGTTGTTGTTGTGGTTGTTGTTGTTGTTGTTGTTAGTCAGTCAGTCA